TAATGGGGCATGAACTTAAAGACCCCAGCTCAGAACAAACACTCAAGAACTGATCAAGCAAGGAAAACTGATGGACATTTGCTTTCGTTTCATTGCTATTAACCAACTGTTGATAGAGGGGTCTAAACCTCATACCTGAGTCACAGCTGGGTCAACTTGAGAGCTACCGGAGCTAATTAATCAGCATAAGCCCAGGGCAGGGTAAGTACTTTACTGATTTAGGATAATACAGAAGAAGTAAATTAGTCCTCCCAAAAGGCAGACCTGGGCACTGGGGAGTGTGCAGGTCTGGCCCTGGGTACCAACCTGCCCTTAAGGCCAATGCAAGACCAAGAACAACATGAGAAAGTCGGCTGGCCTCAAGGTCCAACTGTACTAGTGGTTCACCTATTCTTAACTACCTGGTGTATGGAGGGGGTAAAGGGAAGCTAGGAACCCCATGAAGAAAACCAACGGACAAATCCTAGAATCAACACCTGGCAGACAGACCACCTCCCAATAGTAAGAATATTCAATGTCAAGTCGTGGTGGGTGAGAATTGTGCAGCATTAGTCGAGTGACTGGATCTGGGAAGCTCTGGTCCTCATGGCACAAATCCGCCAAATCTCGAGTTGCCGAAGGCCAGCGCTGCAGGAACAATCAGTACCGGCCAATATGGATGGTTAATAATAGGCTATCAGTATCAACCATGAAAATCTTTACCGGTGCACCCCTAAATTTAACATCTCCTAAAAACACTGTTCACATGCTACATCCCTTTGAACTCCTTCCTCATTTTTTTGTCTACTTTAGATATTAAACACTTCAGAACATGGATCCTGTCTTCTCTGTTTTGCAAGGTACCCAGGATACTCTTGGGTGTTAGATAAATAAATCTGAAATACCCAGTATTTGAACTGTTTGTGTTCTTGCACAGATTCTCAGCAGACAGTCTGTAGCAACATATAAAAACTAATCTAATAAGTCTGCTCTTCACAAAGACATGCAGAGTTGGATGGACAAGTCAGTAATAGGGAAGAAACAGAAACTTCTAGCCAGTTCAGTATTCTATGGTAGTTAGTCTTCATAAAATAGCTGATTAGTTTATGGTAATGTTAGAGTGATGTTGTAGCCATGATAGTCCAGGAATTATGCAAGAGGCAAGCAATTCTTTAGATGATCTTATTTATTGGACCAACTGCATAGTTAGGATAGAATTAAACATATTTTCAAATGCAAGACCTTCTTTCTCAGATTTCATGCTAGAAGGTCTTGCACTTAAAAGCTTGTCTAGCTGTGTCCCAACTACACAGCTGGTCCAATAAAAATATATCACCCTAAGAAATCCTTGCCTCTCACATGATTAGTTAATGGAATGCCTTGCTGTAAAGTAAAAGGCAATGACTCCAATAGCCTATAAGATTAGACATTTATGGATATAATACACACAGCTATTTTAGCCAAAATAAATGCCAAAAAGAGATATCAAGCTTCACACTAACTTCCTCATTATGGCAACAAGTCTCTTGTGCCTTAATAAGGCTGAACACCTTCCTCTAAAGCACCAGCTGTTGATCAATATCAACATGTAATTAATATTGGACTAGGCAGGCCACTGTTCTGATCTGAATGGCAATTACACTTATATTCCTCCTCTTTTGTTTGGTAGAAAAGAATGGCAAAAAAAGAGAGTGAACTATTAAGTAAATAAATTGACCGTCTTGAGAACTAACATAATAAAGATGTAGAGACTGTTTCTGAAAGTCCCTAGAGGTTCTACATGCAAAGAAAAGTGAGCAAAATCTCACTCCTCTCTTCTACTAAACTGCAAAGAAACTGTAACAAGTTACCTTTTGCAAGATAGCTTGTCATTTGCTGTATTTTGTTTTTTGCTTATTTTGTCTTCGTGAATTAGATTCTTGTCTTGCTGAGGTGCATCAATTTAGTTCTCTTCAGGTATCTGGTCTCTCTCTGTTTGGAATTATTAAACATTACTCATTTAGCTTACAAAATATTAATAGCCTGTAGGACCTGTAATTATTAGTTATGGAAAAGACAGAACAACATGTTACACAAGCACTATGCACTGCCACCTGCAATCAGCTCTGAAAAGAGCAGGTGTTAGTGTATGTTCACCAAGCACAGACAGAGATGTTCTGGGAAGGCAAAATGTAAAGGATGATTGTGCGTTCACATGAACCATATTAACAGATGATATGGATGGATAGCCAGACAGACGCACGCTTAATTGTTACATGTGAACAAGCCCGGAACAATATAAAACTCTCAAAACAACTCCAGCTTCAATACTGGATAAAGAAATGTTACAGATGGAATTGTTTTGCTACATTTATGACTGTTAGAAGATAACAGCTGCAGTGCTATTGGAAGTATGTCTCTCCATCCTGTTTTTAAAATTGCTCCAAATGTACAAGACAGCTCATGCCCAGAGCACAGCAGTACTGGAATACCAGCAGTTTCTACATGCTACCTCCTCTACCCTGCTTTCTGCCGAACATGACTAACTACTTCTCTTTAATCTCCCTGGACACTCCACCGCTAACCTGATAGTGGTTGTTCCCAGACAGCAAACTTTTAAAAACAGGCCTGAATGGAAAATTGCAGAACAAGAAATCTTCTGCAGACTGGAGAGGATTAAGTATGGTTTAAATAGACGCTATGGATTCTCATTCCATTACCTGGGTCCTGTGGATTTAATGTTTATTTGTTCTTCTCTCCCAGCACTGCCTCCCTTCCTGCCCCAATCTCTCTCCCACCTCCTCTTTTGTTTTTTTAATGTCTCTCTCCTTATACTCTGCTTCCTGCATATCCTTTCATAGCATCTGATGTTAATTCACCTTCAGCTCAGGAAAGCCTGTGATATAGATACAGATTACAGAATCATAGAGAAGTAGTGTGGAAGGGGCCTCCAGGTGACATCTATTCCAACCCCCCACCCAAGGCAAGATCACCTCTATCCAAACAATCCTATACAATCCATGATGTAAACCAGGGGTGGGTAAAACGAGGCCTGAGGGCAAGATGCAGCCCACCAAGCCATTCTATCCAGCCTGTGGAGCTCCTAAAAATTTTAGAAAATTAATATTAATCTTTCCTGGGCTGCCTGTCATGTGGCCCTTGATGGCTTGCCAAAACTCAGTAAGCAGCCCTCCGCCCAAAATAACTGCCCACCCCTGATTTAAACTCTACGTTAAGACTACCATCAACCCCAAAACAACACACACCTAACACCCCAACCTACCACAAGTAAAGCAGGGGAACTGCAGCAGCCAACATCCTGCTTCTATGAAATGTTGTCAATATACGCTCAAAAGATCCCAGGACAAAGGCCATAACCCTGCTACAGAGGCAGGCAAAAACACCCCACAGACCATACCAATTCAGAGATTGTAAGGCCAGAAGGAACCTTGGAAGATGATCAGGTCCAGCCCCCTACACCAAGCAGGAAAGATAACTGGGGGTCAGGTGACCCCAGTAAGGTGATTTATCTAATCTCCTCTTGAAGATTTCCAGAGGAGATCTGACCCTGGGTAAAATTTCTTCCTGACCTAAAATCTGCCGATCGGCCTGACCCTGTGCTGAGAGACAAAACCCTCTAGCCAAGAAACTCCAGCTTTGGTCCCAGCAGGAGCACTGACCCAGTCAAACCAAGTATGTACATGTATGTATATGAACATGTGTACGTAGATACAAAAACATATATATAGGCATATATACACATATATGTATGCATGTCTATGTATCAATATATCTCACGTACACACGTGTGTGCATGTATGCCTGGGGGTGCGCATGTGTGTATATACACACACATTCATACACATCAGTATATATGTATGCATGTGCATGTATATACACACATACATACACACTAGGGCTGTGCGAAACGGCACTGCTCCATTTTGACAGAACAATGTTTCGTTTCAAAACCGCTGTAACGTCATTTCATTGAAACAGTTTTGCTGTTTTGACATTTCACCCATAGGCTATAATGGGGAAGCTCAAAACAACCTACAACTTTGTCATTTCTGGCCTGATTTGCATGAAACTTTCAGGGATGGTAGCCCTTTCTGAGGGCATGCAGCCTGCTGTTTCAACAAGATAAGTGCAGAGGTTTTGGGGAAAATGCACCTCAAGCTGCAGACAAGCAAAACTCATGACATGGGTGACACTGTGTGCATGTTAAAGCGCAGCAGGGTGAAAGCTGCAGGGATGGTAGTCCCTGCTGAGGCCATGAAGCTTGCCAGATGTCAAGGAGGTAGGTGCAGGGGCTTCTGGGTTCTGGGGCCCTGCACCTCCGGCTGCTGACAGGCAAAACAATGCTGCTTTTTATGCTGTTTTTCCATTCCTCCCCCAAAAGAGCTGGGATTGAAAGGAACCTCAGTGAAAAGGTGACAGTCACCGGCCAGCTACACAGTCAATAATAAAAGCTCTCCTTCCCCCACTTCCACCTGCCCTTTCCTTGCATCAGTTTCTGTTCCCCTACTGGCAAGCCCAGCTCGAGCTTTGAAACTTGAAACGTTTTGAAATTTTCAAAACATTTAGACTTGCCTTGTTTCGCCTCGAAGCTGTTTCGAAGCTCTCCGTTTCATTTCAATTTTGCTGTTTCAAGATCAAAACGAGTCGAAACAAAATTGCTAGTGAAATTTCGCACAGCCTTAATACACATCATAGACACAGACATCCGGGAGTGTACTTTCCACGCGTGCATGCACACATGTATCTCCTGTCCCTGGTCTCTAAGCCGCAAGTCTTCCCTGCCTTCTGCTTGACTTCAGGCCACCAGGGCTCGGCGTCCCCGCCGCGGCAGGAAGCGGTGGGCGCCTGCAGGGGCAGCGTGCGAGCGGGCGACGTGGAGGCCCGGCCCCGTCGCAACCACCCAGCGCAGCAGAAGCAGCAGCAGCCGCCCCGCAACAGACTCGTGCGACGGCCCCGGGCTCCTACACGCCCGCCAGAGCCTGCCAGGGCCCCCGCAGCGGCGCTGGGGTGGGGGCTCCTACCTGCCCAGGTGCGGTGCTCGGGGACGCGGTAGTACTTGTTCCCGAGCGGGTCGGCGCCCACGTGCTCCCGGCCGGGCCCAAACAGCCGGAGCCGCAGGGTGCG